GAAAGAACACCAAAGAAACCGCGCCAAAGTCGCTCAAAAATCTTCAATTATCGTGACCAACTGTTAATAAGGATTATTAATTGAGTTTGAGGATTACTTTTAAGGGAAAATACATTTGGAACAATAAATAGATTTAAAAAGGAATAAGTAAGAAAATTATATTCGGTTGAAACCGTATCTTTTGTACTCCGTGTACCGTGGTCCTTAAAAAAATGGAAAAAACTAAATTTTCATATTCTACAACAATGAGTGGGCGCGGTTGATGATTTTTTTATTTTTGGAGTAAAACTGGAAATGTTGTACTTTACAAGTAACAAGCAAAAAATACGAAAAACAAAGGTGTTCACAGTTTTTGTTACACAGACGTGTGGACATTGTAGGCGTGTAATTTGGAAAGTTTGGTTTATTTTCCGGTTTTATGACGATATCTTCATTTTTGTAAACGGGAGAATGTTTACAAAAGGTATTACGTAGAGAGACGGACAGACGCAATCGATTTAGAAATTGATGTAGTTACCTCCATTGGTCATACTTTTTGGATGCGGTAGTATATCGTCGTAGTATTTCATCCCATATAAGGATTTATTCTAACATAATTTGCGCTTTTTAAAAATGGGTGAAAAATAGTGCTTTTCTACACTAAATGAAGAGTACACCCCAAATAAGGATTTATTTTGAAATAATTTGCAATTTTTAAAAATCGGTGGAAAATAGTTCTTTGTTACACTAAATGAAGAGATTTGAACAATGTTTTCAACCCTGAAATTGACCTTTATTTGGAAACAAATTGCTACGATAAAATATAAAATTATGATTTCACATACTTGAAAAATATAGGAAATTCGTGTAAATCGTATATGGGATGTCAACTTATTTTATTTGTGTTCTCATCTTATACTTTTAACACTTTTTGTTTGTTTGTATATTGTACATTTCCTTCCCTATTTTCCAAGCAAATGTTATTTAGTGTAGTTTAGCGCTATCCGAGTTACATGTATTAAAAATGATAGAAAAGAAATGACATTAAGTGGCAGTAATTCTTTGTTTTTGCGGTTTTTAGTCATGATAATGCAAAAGAAGAGAGGATAATACTGCTAAACACTAATAAGCTAAAAGATAATAAGTTAATCATAAAAGCGGTTGACGGTGAATACATTTGAGACAAAGACAAAATCACCCAGGCTGTGAACTTATATTAAAAAATATCAAATACGAGACTGAAAAAGTGAAAGTTAACTTAATCACTTTGACCAAACCAAGTGCTGCGAACAAATTTAGAATAATTTCTAATATTATTAGCAACTATGTTAAACACAGCTGTGTTATTTAGAACCAACTATCAACTATGTTATTTAGAACCAACTATAAGTTTCGTATTTGACATAGTATAAAGACTTTTTTATATTAAGTTGAAATTAATTAATATAAAGTCATATTTTCTTCATAATATTTTTTAAACAAATTCTGAAAAATTTTAATTTTAACTAAATTTTGATTTCGATTCGTTCGAGACTTCATTTATCATAACTCTTTTAACGGCTTAATAGAGCTCAGTTTGCTTCGAGCCTTTACTAGTTAAATTTTAATATAACTTCACACCCTTCTCATAAAGACGATTCAAGCTCATTTATGACATAGCGTGAAAATTTTTTCTTTTCAAAAATTAATTAATTTATGTAGACATGTTTTATTTATAATATCCTGTAAAAAATTCTCGAAAAGTTCTATTTTAACTATGTTTTGACTTAAATCCTCCGAAACTTCGTTTAACGTAATTTTGTTAACGAGTTAACAGAGCCCTGTAAAAATTTTTTTGATTTGCGCCTTCGCTAGTTATATTTAAATATAACTTCATATTTTTATTTTGTAGCCGAATCCGTAATAAACTCCAAACACTTCTGCCGAACTCTTAACTTCTTGGAAGAAGCAATGAAATCTTCGGAATTGCTCTTAGCCTTGTGTCTACTTAAACGTTATTTTGACCCATACCCACAATTATGAAAATGGTTCTTAAACTTATCATATATTTCTTGTTTCGAGATATTTAATGAATTTCATTTGAATAAATCAAAAAATATTTTTACATTTTATTATGAATATGAAATTTTCGTTAATTTCATACAAAAATGTTGTTTTTAAAGTTCGAATTGACTATTTCCAAAATTAATTGAATGCCCTATAAAGGGCTTAAAGCAGTAAAAAGCTATGAGTTTTATTAGAAACAATAATTTTAGTGAAATAATTCATGGACATTTGCTAAATATTTTTAATAAGTAAGTTTATTTTAGGCTTTTGTCGTTCAGAGTTCTTAAGATTCTCAAAATGCTCCTGAAAAACTGGAGGAATGTATGGTCGTGAACACATAATATCTTTGCCTTTTTCTTCCTTTATTGGTCTAGTAGTGGTGTATAATAGACGTAATTTAATATTTGCGTATATTTTTGGTCTTCCTCTTTTAGGTGAAAGATCCAAAACGTGCACTTTAGAATCATATAAAGAAGTTATCTAGCACATCTTATAAGATTCATTTTTCAAGAATCGCATCCATTGAATTTGCAGCCAAGAGGCAGGGCCTCTTCTAGTGATTTCATCGAAATAAAATCCGACTGCGACATTCGTTTTACCGAAAATGTATTTCTCCTTCTGCACTGTTCTATCAATTCATAGTACTACTTAGGTTTTTTTTTTTTATTTTCACTTATTTCAATCCAAAATCGTGGTCGTTCGATAGAAGAGATTGACTAGGTACCAAAAATTTGTGGTATATCGTTTCAACATTATTATTTGACGAGTGTCAGTTTTCATCCAGATCCACTCTTCAAAAATGATTGGTTATTTTCCTCATATTTCTTTACATATATGCTGCACATTTTGCGAATATCTAGATCGGGACTCATATACTTTCGACCAGGAGTGTGACAAACTCTGGTGTAGCGGCTCTTATATGCTGAGTGATTTAAAGTATGTTATTTTAATTTTATCGGTTTTTCGCGAAGATCCAGGCACGACGTTCAGTTCTAGCATTCAGAGCACGTATTAACCGCATTACAGAAATTTTAAAGGTATCTTAAAAATCTTCCTGCAAACCTACTCTTCTGAATTTTTATTTTTTGACAGAAAATATTGTAGAAGTTCTTTCAATAGCTCTGGGCCGCCTTTGTTTTATTAATCGTTGATGAAGTAGTACATAGATATAGATTCTGCGTTTTAAAATCCTGTAGTTTGAAGAAATTATCACAATGAGATTATCTTTCATTATATTCTACTCGATCTGAATATTTTTTTGCGCGAAAGCAATCCTTATTTTCAAAAGTTTTGATTTTTTTGTTGTGTGTTTTTCGCCATTTTTTCTCTTAATTTCTGACTTAGACCACTTTCATAATTAACCCTACATGAATTCCATATAACTTTGAAATCACAACCGCTAAGTAATGGGTCATTTTTGACGATATCGTAAAAATTACGTTGTTAATTTAGTTTAAATTAATGTGGTGAGAATTAACTGGCAAATTCATTTTTTTTAAATTTTGGCTTCGATCGCTTTCATTATTACGGGCACATATTTTACAATTTGTGATGTGTTCATATGAATTCGAAAGGTTACCAACAATGACACATTTTTCCTGCTACCAATTTCTATATATTAGACTGTTAAGTTTTCAAAAAATTACAACTTAAAGATTGAAGCGCGCGAACTTCATTTCAACAAGCTTACTGTGATAGGTGACGAAATTGCGCAGCAGTCAAAGGCTATGACAACAATTTAAAATTCGACAATTGCAAAGACTTTGGAAAATTTCACTTTGTCGACAGGTTCAGTTTTGGAATGGTTTACAAAAAATGTTTTCTATGTGCCTCACTTTTGCGGCATGAGTGATACAGTGTAGAGTGATAGATAGCGATAGACAGTCACTTTATCCTTTATGAGAACTGCAGTGTTTGCTACTAAGCGTTGCAAATTTGTGCGCAAGGATTATTATTCGCTGGCATTTATAAATATAAAAATCTCTTCGATTTTTATTGTGAAATAAAGTGCGCTTTGTTTATAAAGATTATCTCATACGTTATTAATAGCTGTCATGACATACAACAACCGTGTGTTAAAATCGTTAATTTTGCTTTTTTTTCTCGTTTTTTTTAATTTTTAATATGTACTGTTTTCTTTATAAAGCAAAAAATGCATTTTTCTTCTGCTTAGTTTTGTTTTTCTTTTTTTTGCTGCATACGTAGAGTTAAATGTTGGTTGTTATTCGCACTGTTGTCATTCATTTTCTGTGGGGGATGCAAACGGAAAAGCCGAGAAAAAAATATTTATGAATAACTAACAGTGTGGAAGCGAGTGCTTTTGTTTATGGCATGCTATGACGGTTGTATATACATATATATATATATATATATATATATATATATGTATGTAGCACCATCACCCACCATCCACCACACTTAAGCATTGAGACAGAAAATCAACACATAAAAAATAAATTTGCCATATGATTTCAAAGACAGTATACAATTGCATATGAGGGAAAAGGGGATAACAATTCATAACATCAAGCAACATGCATAGCATTTATTAATTTATTAGTTTGTTATTGTTTCCGAGATAGTTTTCTTTCCTTTCAACAATACCAAAGAAAAATATGTTTTTTAATATCTTTTTATGGAAAAAAATGCAAATGAATAGATTTTCTTTGTAAAAATTAAAAAAAAAAATTTTTCATTAACATATGGATCATCAATAAAATCTTAGATGATTTAAAAAATATTCATATTAAAATAGCGGATGATATGTGATTGAAAATAATATCATAGGAATTATGTGGTGGTTTTTAACCGAAAACTCCTATGCAAGTGATTAAGAACGAATCCGTGACTGGCTATATTTGGAAAAATTCTTATTTATTTCACAAAATAAGCAAAACGTATTTAAATAATTATTACATATTACAATAATATACATGCTAACACTTCGTATTATGTTTGGTTGTTTTCTTTCTCAGGTATGTGTCAACACTTGTCTCATGATAAAAGTGAAAATCACCTTTAACGAGCTTTCCTGTAGACTGCAAAAGAAAGACGACGTCTTTAGTAAGTCAAAGAGTCTTAAAACATTCATGTATGTATCAACAGAATATGCAGGCAAACTGTTTTTATTGTGTTCATATGGACTTTGCTTCCTTCTTACTGCTAAAGAGGATAAAGAAACGATACTTAGACAAGATTTTTTATACAAGCACCAAAGCATGGTGCGCTTTCATGTTGTTATTCCGCTTGCAATAATAACTGGGAACTTTGCACAATATATATAAATTGGGATCACTCAGTGATTGCATTGGCTTGTTGCTTCTTTTTTTAAACTCGTACATTTTTTTTTTTATACTTTGGCGAACTTTAAGCTATATGTTCAATCAATCTAATCTTTTGTTATTTTTTTGATGTAACTACTACGCCAGCGCTATAAAAATCCTGGGACTCTGGACGAAAAACAGAACTAAACTATTGATAGGCCCTAATTGGGGATAGGTTTACACCAAAAAAGCGAAGCAATTGGTCAGACGGGGCAGAGTCTACGCGATGAATCTGTGAATGCTTTCTAATAAATCTTTATATATTACATCTATATACATCTTCAACTATCTTCTGAACTAATACTGATCTTTTTCATTCTATTGTTGTTAATTGAAGCAAACGGACGTGTTATCTGTGTGCACGCAGTATTATATGGTGTTATATAGCTGTTAAAACGTTGAACGAACAAAAAAAACCTACACAAACTATATAAGTATGAAAAGATATTATAAAGGTTTTTTAGCCTTTAACTAGGCTGCGCAGATTGCTTGGTGCATTTTGTCATTTTTGTGCAATTAAGTGGTTTCGTTTAAAATATAATAAGTGAGTACTCATCAATAATAAAAATAAGTAACACAGAGTTTCTTTGCTGATTCTTAGAAATCACCAAAGATAGCATTTGGGTGATCTTAGGATTTTTTTCAGTTAAAAATTAATGACAATTCATTGATAATAAAAATAAGCGTTGTGGTAAGCTCAGGATTTTTTTTCTGTTAAAAAATTGTTGACGTGCTTACTTGAGCTGGTAGAGCAGTCTTGACATCGTTGCCGTCTCTTTTTTGACGTGTTGATTGGAGTAGTCAAGTTCAGAGGCGCTCAACGGATCTGTTGTCCAATTGTTGGGGGTTGTCATAATTTTTTTATATATTTAATTACAGATAACTTGAATTCAAACACTTCGCCTTATTTATTATACGAAGTGCACTGATTGAGATATTTGAATATGTTTCCCAACCACCTGAAGAGTGTTGTGGGGGAATCCTCAGATCTAGAAATGACGTTTTCCGACTATGATTTGCCGATAGCGAAGTGTGGCCAGAAGCCTGGTTCACTTAAAAGGAATTGTGGAAAACGTAACCACACTCCGTCCGTTGTGTTCGAGGACGACACGGTGGTTAATTTGAATATGCGTCGGACCGACTCGATGACTTCAGTGTCCGGTGGTCGCTCGGCCACTATAAAGAGGCGCAAGGGTAAAGCCATCCTTGCAGTTGCATCCGCTGATCCTGTAGTAAGCGCGGTAGCTTCCGCGCCTAGCAGACCAGTGCGTAAGACGGAACGGAGTGCTGATACTGGGTCGGTGGACAAGGTGAAAGCGATAACCACTCGCCTCCAGAAATGCACCCTCTCTCCGGACAATGCCGCGCTTGAGGCTGCCAGCGAATTCTTGGGCCTAGGCAGCGAATATGACGCTATATTTTTCGTGTTGGTGGCTGAAAGTGAGCGCCTTAGAAGCCGCATAAAGGAGCTAGAAAAAGGCGGTGGCAGATATGCATCCCCCACGTACGTGGTTAAGGCACCCCCAACAAAGTCGGTTCCAGTTCCCGTTGTTAAGGCCGAACGGTCTTTTATGCCGCGAAAACCAATGGAAACCTGTTCTGTAGTTATCCGTAGTAATAATACTGCGGGCGCACATAAGGAGGTGGTTAAGAAGATCGTAGAACAAGTGTGACCGACCGTGGGCGTTCGGGCTCACGGTATTCAACCTATCCTTGGCGGTGTGGCTGTAGTCAGTATGCCATCCGTTGCGGAGAGGTGGAAGATTGTGTCCAACGCAAAGTTCGGGGAACTCCGGCTTGACCTTTCTGTTGTTAACAAATTAACCCCGCGAGTTTCGGTGCAGTCCGTCCGATTTTATAGATAAGTTGTATGAAATAAATCGGAAAGGTTTATTCTTTAGTCGCGAAGAGTTTGAAGAGAAGATCCGCTTTGGGCAGATGCTGACAATAAGACTAATATATGGAAGGCTGAACTACTGCCATGGATTGCCTTTTCCACGATGGCAGGGTGTACGCTGAGTGGATGTCGTTCACGATACGGCCTGAAGATAAGGTGCTCGTTTCCTACCGATACCTAAAAATTGTAGAGTGAGTCGTATAGTTTGTAGGCACAGTGGTTAAAGTAGACATAGATACGAACGCCGCACATTGTAGAAACTGCGAGTTGAAGACGCTTCCGGGGATCAATAGGAGGATTGCACAGGTGGCAGTTCGGCATTAAAATGGTCCTGCTTAGACTGCAATGTAACTGCAATCACAGTTGTCATGGGATGTGCAAGCTCGGGCTGCAATAGCTGTCATTGTGAATCATGTAAATATGGAAGCCACACTTGTCCTGGCAAGTAGTCAGGGTGTCTGTGTGTCGGTCGAAGACGTGCACAGAGGGTTGGTTTGCCCAAGCCTTTATTGTAAGTTCAATCAAGAACTGTATGATCACCTTAGGTATAGGGATTCGGTGTTGTTGCTGGTTGGTGTCACTCTATTGATCCTGAGGCTGTAAGCTAACGCTTGCTCACCTTTATGGTTTAGCAATTTCCAAAATGAGTTTCTGGCTTACGCAACCAAATAATAAGTGAAGTGTTGCCTGAATGGTGTACAACCAGATGTTAAATGAGTCGAGTGAATGGTGCACTTTTCATTTTCCCGTTGAGGCTAGTGACATTGATGACACTATTCCTAATAGGGCAGCTATGAGCTTGAATTTGCATGGGTGTTGAAAGTTGTATGGGGTTTTAGCGATCATAACATTATTAAGGTGGTAATGAGGTATACCCCGGCCGCGTCAGTCAACGTTGACGTTAAACGTTGTCGTATTCCTGAGATAAATTGGGACGCCTATGGAGTCCTTCTTCGAGAAACGGTCACCGAGGTGCCGCGTGGGAATTTCAGAGGAAGAAGAACACTTAACTGAATCCGTATAGAGTGTCAACGACTTTCTTCTCGAGAGGTGACCCAGGGCAAACCAAAGAGGAGTTAAGTGGTGGACACGGAGTCCGTCAGAGAAATTAAAGACCGTCCGCCGCCTTAGAAGACGGTTCCAGCGGAGGAGAAGACCTCATGCCGCGAATGCTGTATAGCTAAGAGTCGAGTTGAGGCAATACCTCAATAACTACAAGCGCATGCTGGACTGGAGAAATTTTGTCTCCCTAAATCGCGATGACCCTTGGGGTCAGGTTTAGCCTGTTATCAAGGTGAAAAACCCCTTAAAGATAATTGATATTCGTATCTTAAATGGGTTATTATCCATCTGGAGAGAGTGTAGAGAGAGAGCATGCGGGAGTTGCGTGCTGGCTGTTGTGAGCCTAAATCGCCGGAAGAGTCTCGGCTCGGTGTGGAGTTGCATAGCAACCGGGTATCTGATCCAAAAAAAGTACAGGGGTTTTAGGTAGGCCTCGACCTTACCAGGTGGGGAGACATATCTTGGCAGGTATCCCCGTTAAACACCTAGAGACTTCTGGCATTCTAAAAACTAACGATGAACAATATCTATTACGTATTGGTGACCTTAAATCTGAAAGTGCAAGAAAAAAATTTGAGGTTTCGGTCGTCATTGTAGTTGCTAACAGAATAGAGGGAAACCAGTCGCCCGGCCAAGTGTGGGCTCTTGATTATTTACGGTACGCTTCCAATCCCATCGAGGACAAAATATTACTTTATGTAGCGACAGTTTGGGCTTTAGCATGTTTGCGCAAATTCACACATTTTGACCTATAATATTTTTCGCACATAATGTGCGAGAGTATAGCTTAGCAGAATTGAAAAAAAATCCACAACTTCGTCAGGTCCAACATGTTTATTTTAGATTTAACGCATTCTTAGATAGATAATATCTTCGTTTGAATAATGTATGGTTTAAAACGTTCTGTCTGGTTTACCTTATAATGAATAAGCATAAAACCTCAAAAAAGTGAGAACTAGAAAATTTTATTAATTATAATTTTATGTGGGCGGGGTCGATTTTTTCCATTTTCGCACATAAACAGTATAGTTTTTTCTAAAGTATACATGGAAAATTTACAATTTGTGAGTATTAAGCAAAAAACCAAAAACTTTTGGTTAGGAAAACGGAATTGCATTCAGTTTTCGCTACACTGGGTACTTGCGCTTTGACCAATTTGGACTTTCAATTCCAATCTGCGTGTAGAGATTTCCAAAGTTTCTACGAAATTTGAAGTCGATATTTCCATTGTTGCGATCAACGACAAAAGCACACAGCGCACAGAAACACAAACATCGTTTAGTCAACTCAGAGTTTTATGTTGTTTAAGAATATATATACTTCATTGAGAGTCCAAAGCAACCTTTTGCGTGTTGCAAACATTGTGACAAAATGTGTATACCTCCACCTTTCAGGGGTGGATATAAAAAGAACAAAAGTAAATATTTCTTTAGAAATTACAGCCATCTATACAGTATGAAAGCGCCTACATATGTACACAAATTAGTAAACCACTTTCGTTTGCTTTACTTTTTTGAGGCTGGGTTGTGGCATTTATTTCAATTTCGATTTATATTCGAGTTTGGTAAAGTCCATGGTTTAACCATGAAATAGCAGGAGTTTGATTAGAAGACAAACATCAACAAAATATGTTTTTAAGAGAGGGAAACTGCTCTTAAGGAAAATGTCTTACCGTTCTTATTGATTACGCTTCGTTTTCAATGCCGAACATTTTTGCGTTCAAATTATCTCGCAAGGAGGAGAAATAGCAAAATTTCGACTTATAACTTTAATGTGAATGT